TTACTCTTGTCACCCAGGCTGGAGTGCAATGGCACAATCTTGGCTCACTGCAATCTCCGTCTCCCAAGTTCAAGCAATTCTCCTGCCTCAGCCTCCTGAGTAGGTGGGATTACAGGTGCTCGCCACCACAACTAATTCTTGTATTTTTAGTAGAGACAGGGTTTCGCCATGTTGGCCAGGCTGGTCTCAAACTTCTGACCTTAGGTGATCACCCACCTCAGGCTCCCAAAGTGCTCAGATTACAGGCATGAGCCACTGTGCCCAGTCAAAAGAGCTATTTTTATAGCATTTTCCTACCAGAATAAACTGGAAGTTTCATGGAGGAGGGTATTCCCTCTTTAATGTCTCCTAAAGGTCTCCTTCAACACTCTATACCAGGGGTTAGCACTATGCCTGATCACAGGAAGTACTCAATAAATATTTTTGAAATATCATCAATGAATACTTTTGAAAATCTAAATTAGGTTAGGATAACCTTTATTAGTCTCTCCACAAATGCAAGAAAATACACCACAATTTTCCAGAAACTTAATGTTTCATCCATTTATTAGGCCCGTTGAACCACTGTCCCGGAACAACTTAGTTAATTCAGGGTTTATGCAATTAAAAAAAAAAAAAAAAAGTACTGAAGCCCATTACTAGTACGTACTGCACTGCTAGGTACTACAGATATGACACTGTCAGGGTAGATACAGTTTCATTTAAACAATCACCATTCCATATATAAAGCAAAATGGCAAGATAGGATTTTTTCCCCGACCTCTTTTGACACTGAGATGTACAAAGACAAGGCTGAGATTTCAACAATTGGTGGCAAGATCCACTTTGGAGAACAATGAGCTGCTATTTTCTTCAGATACTCTAAACAGATGAAATAATTCTCTTCCTTTTCGCTATCCTTGTGAGTTAAATTGTATCACTCTCTGTTCTGCAGAGTAGCCTCTCCAGCCTCTCCTAAAATACTGATTAAACATCAAAGCATTTTCCTTCTGGATCCTCTTCTAGAAAGCAACACGCAGAGATAACAACTCATAGGAAGAAAAGCTACAAAGAAAAGAAATTATGTTAAAGAAAAACAACACTATTCTGGAAATAAAAGACAAGAGCCACAGGTTGCCACATTACAGCTGTCTCTCTGTATGCAATGTATGGGAAATGATAAAACTAGAGACAACCAATTAAAAAGCATATATGGTTGGTCTAATAAATGTGAGAAGTATTTTGTTTCACTAAACTCAAGATTTTTGCTGTCTTTAATTCTGTTCCAATACTATAATAATCATCATTGTACCCAACATTCCTATAAAGCAGTGGTCCCCAACCTTTCTGGCACCAGGGACCAGTTTCCTGGAAGATAATTTTTCCACAGACAGAGGGGGGTTGGTGGGAGTGGGGATGGTTTAGGGATACAACTGTTCCACCTCAGATCATCAGTCATTCGTTAGATTCACATAAGGAACACATAACTTAGATTTCTCACATGTGCAATTCACAATAGGGTTCCGCTCCTATGAGAATCTAATGTTGCTGCTGATCTGACAGGAGGCACAGCTCAGGTGCTAATACTTGCTCAGCCACTGCTCACCTCCTGCTGTGTGGCCAGGTTCCTAACAGGCCATAGACCAGTACTAGTCTGCAGCTACTAAGGGCCACAGTAGAAAATGTTGCTGATACCCATTTGGCTCAAGTTATTCGTTATCTCCCTTCTCCCACTTCCTCTGTCTTCTTTATGCCAACCTAAAAGTTAAGAAATCAAAGATGGTGAATAGTAGAACTAGGCAGGACATGAAGAGGGTAACAAGCTCCCCTCAAGACAAACTTTGCATCTATTGTCTTCTTAGAGAACTAACTTTAACTTCTTGAATGCTGAACTAGGTCATTGCTTAACTAGCCTCCATCAGGCTTATTTCCTTCTGTACATTATTTCAATTTAAAAAATATATTTAACGCCGAACCTGGTGGCTCACACCTGTAATCCCAGCACTTTAGGAGGCTGAAGTGGGAGGATCCCTTGAGACCAGGAGTTCAAGACGAGTGTGGGCAACATGGCAAGACTCCATTTCTACAAAAATAACAATTAGCTAGGTGTAGTGTCACCTGTCTGTGGTCCCAGCTACTCAGGAGGCTGAGGTGTAAGGATCACTTAAGTGTGAAAGGTTGAGGTTGCAATGTGCCGTGATCATGCCACCACATTACAGTCTGAAAGACAGAGGACTCTGTCTCAAAAAACAAAACCAACCACACAAACAAAAAAACCCAAACAAAAAGTAAAAAATATGTTTCAGAATCATTCAGAATCAGTCTCCTTCTGTGAGTCACTGTTTGCGGGACAGGAATTTATTACTCAGAATCTGAGTTTGGATGGCATGAGGGCAAAAGTAAATGAGTGTTAACCAAGGTTACTGAGTGCCCAATTAGGTGTCAGTTAGTCAGAGATTTAGAGACAAAACTAATTTGTTATTATATTCAAAGGAAATACATACGGACATTCACCAAAAAAAATAGGTATCTCAACCCAGTAAAAACCATAAACAACTTACTACAGAATTTTAAAGAAATGGGCTCTGATGCAAGACAGATAAATAAAATTCAGTCTAAAAAAAAAAAAAAAAAAAGGAAGGAAAAAAAAAGAAACAAAGCAGAAATATACCTCAGAGTAAAGTTATTAGCTAAAGACAACAGCAACAAGCACATATGTCCAAGGCTACCCTCAGCATAAGACCACTGTGAATTAGAGAAGCTGCCTTCTTCCTGGTTAACCAAGTTTAAGGCATTGTGAATCAAGCTCAGGTTGGATTTTTTTTTTCTCCCAGAGTCTCAGCTCACTGCAACCTCTGCCTCCTGGGTTCAAGTGATTCTCATACCTCAGCCTCCTGAGTAGCTGGGATTACAAGTGTGCACCACCACACCTGGCTAATTTTTGTATTTTTAGAAGAGACAAGGTTTCGCCATGTTGGCCAGATAGGTCATGAACTCTTGACCTCAAGTGATCCTCCTGGCTCGACCTCCCAAAGTGCTGGGATTACAGGCATAAGCCACTGCATCAGGCCCAGGCTGGATTTTAACCCTTCATTTCAAATCCCTTAAGCAGAGCCCCCTCTTTTCTTTTTTTCTTAGAAAGCCTAGTTCTTTATTTATTTTTTATATTTTTAAAAATAGAGGTGGGGTTGGGTGCAGTGGCTGGCTGGGTGTGGTGGCTCACTCCTGTAATCCCAGCACTCTGAGAGGCTGGGTGGGTGGATTACTTAAGACCAGGAGTTTGAGACCAGCCTGGCCAACATGGCAAAACCCTGTCTCTACTAAAAATACAAAAACGAGCCAGGCATAGTGATGCATGCCTGTAATCCCAGCTTCTTGGGATGCTGAAGTTACAGTGAGTCAAGACCATGCCACTGCGCTCCAGCCTGTCATCCAGGTGACAAACCAAGACTCTGTCTCAAAAAAAAAAAAAAATAAAATAATAGATAAATAAACTAGAGACTGGGTTTTGCCATGTTGCCCAGGCTGGTCTAGAACTCCTGGACTCAAACAATCCACCTGCCTCGGCCTCCCAAAGGCTGGGTCGGAGATCCTACTTCTGATCAGCAGGGAACCCTCTTAAAAGGCACACCCTATACAACTGAGGGTGAGTTGCTCCACTTATACATTATTCTCCTTTCCCTTTTAAAACCTTATTAAAATGAAACCAAATAAAGAAAAATCGGCATAAATCCTTGAGGACAAAGAGAAAGAGAGAAGAGAATAGCAGATTAGAGGTGTGAAAACCATTTTGGGAATTGGAAAGCAGATGGACAAACGTTAACCTAGCAGACCAAAAAAAGATGAAACCTAGGCCTATAAAATTGGTAGAGGTGGAAGTAAAAGAACTGTGTTAGCCAACATTCAATACCCAGGAAAAGATCAGTAATTTGTGGCATCAGGTACTCTGAAAAGAGGGTAGGGTTCAAAAGGGGAAGGTCGCTCAAAATCTCTAAAAGATATAATCAGAGCTCTAGATCATCTCCATTACCCAAGGCAGCCTCCTCCTACCTCCTCTACCTTCACAACTCTAGCAAAAATCTGAATATTTACTCTGAATATGTTGGACAGACAGGCTCTGTACTCACCTGCACCATGCACAAGTAGGAACAGAGAGAATGTGCAACACTGACGGCAACAGTCAAACAGAAACCCCCTTTTGCTCCCCTGGGTTGAGCCCTCTGAGGGAAAAATGACTTGCCTAAGACAAAAGACCTACAGGGCTGGCAGGTGGATGATCCCTCATAAATGGTCAATTACCCCCTATAGTAAGGGCCACCAAATGACAAGCCCCACCAATGAAAACAGAACTTCTAAAACAGGACTATCATATGTCACTTTTAAATACAAGAGAATAATCAAGAATGATAAGACATTTGATAATAACATGAGTTATTATAAAAACATGAGTGTAAATTAATCAAAGAATAAGCTCACAGAAAATAGAGCCCATGCAGGAAGCAAAGCAAAAAGGACTTAGCAACTAGTAGTAAAAATGAAAAGAACTCCACATAAAAGCACATCACAATATTAAGAATTAGAAGAAGATAATACTAACTGGAAGATGGAAGGCAATAACATCGTACCTTTAAAATTCTGAGGTAAAATTATTTGGTTAAGCATATAAAGCTCCCTTTTTTTTTTTTTTTTTTTTTTTTTTTTTTTTTTTTTTTTT